GACAAAAACGTGATGGATTGCTTCGTCATCCAACCGACTCTCCACAGTGGAAGAAAATTGACTGCCTATTTCCAAGTTTTGGCAGTGATGCAAGAAATGTTAGACTTGGACTAGCCACAGACGACATGAATCCTTTTGGTAACTTAACCAGTAATCACAGCTCATGGCCAGTTCTTTTAGTGATTTACAACCTTCCATAATGGTTGATTTTCAAGCGCAAGTACGTGATGTTATCCATCATGATTGCAGGTCCAAGACAGCCGGGTAATGACATAGATGTTTATCTAAGTCCATTAATAGATGACTTAAGGCTATTGTGGGAGGAAGGAGTGGATGTGTTTGATGCATATCAACAGCAGAGCTTCAAGTTACATGCAATGTTATTTTGTACTATCAATGACTTCCCAGCATATGGAAACTTGAGTGGGTATAGTGTCAAGGGTCATCATGCTTGTCCTATTTGTGAGGAAGATACAAGTTTTCTACAATTGAAGCATGGAAAAAAGACTGTGTATAATAGGCACGAGAAAATTTCTTCCACATAACCACCCATATCGAAGATTGAAGAAAGCTTTTAATGGTCAGCAGGAAGATAAAATTTCCAAACAACCTTTAACTGGTGAACAAGTTTATGAACGGGTTAGAAACATTAATGTTGTCTTTGGAAAGACTAAAAAACAGATCGTCGATAAAAGCTTGTGGAAAAAGAGGTCAATTTTCTTTAACCTTCCATATTGGAGTCATCTAGATGTGAGACATTGCATTGATTTTATGCATGTGGAGAAGAACGTATTTGATAGTCTCATTGGCACACTATTGAACATTAAAGGAAAAACAAAGGATGGAGTCAAAGCTCGTCAAGATCTATGTGAATTGGGAATACGTCCGAATTACATCCAAGACCTGAAGGCAAGAGAACATATTTACCACCAGCTTGTCACACATTGTCAAAGAAGGAGAAGACTAGTTTATGTCGGTGTCTTCACAGTATTAAAGTGCCACAAGGATACTCTTCAAATATTAAGAGCCTTGTGTCCATGAAAGATCTGAAGCTAGTTGGGTTAAAGTCGCATGATTGTCACGTTTTGATGCAACAACTCTTACCCGTAGCTATACGTGACATATTGCCAAAGAATCTACGACATGCAATTATGCGTCTTTGTTTCTTCTTCAATGCTATATGTGCCAAAGTAGTTGATGAGAAATCATTGGAGCAGTTGGAAAATGAAGCTGTGGTTATATTATGTCAGTTGGAGATGTATTTTCCTCCATCATTTTTTGACATTATGGTGCACTTAATAGTTCATCTTGTAAGAGAGATAAGACTGTGTGGTCCGATTTATTTGAGGTGGATGTACCCAATTGAGCGATGTATGAAGATCTTCAAAGGGTATACAAAGAATCCATATAGACCTGAAGCTTCTATTGTTGAAAGGTATATTGCAGAAGAAGCTATAGAATTTTGTTCTCAATATTTAGGAAAGGCCCTAGTAGTGGGTGTACCTACTCAACGGCATGATCATAGAATAAATGGTAAGGGCACTCGTGGTCAGGGGAACTTTCGCTCAAGCGAGACATACCTCGTTTGAGCTAGAAAAGTTGCAACTCATGGTGGTTCTTGGGTTGAATTCGCTCAAGCGAGACATACCTTGCTTGAGTGAGAAACACTACAACTCTTGGTGGCTATCGGGTTCAATATCGCTCAAGCGAGACATTCCTTGCTTAAGCGAGAAAAATTGTAACTTTTGATGGCTCTCTGATTTAACATCGGTCACGTGAGACATACCTCGCTTGAGCGAGAGAAATTGTAACTTTTGGTGGCTCTCGGGTTTAACTTTGTTCGGTTGAGGGTACTCTAGCTTCAGCGAGACTAGGTTTCTTCCGGATGAAGTTTCTTTCGTGTTTGAGTGAGGAACGGTAGCTTGAGCGAGAAATAATTAAAACAAAAAACATATATAGAGCAAAAGAAGATTTTAAGTGGGGCAAAAAAAAAACACTCGAGAATAGGGTTTAAGAGATTGGAAAGGAGAGGAAGAAGACTCAAGTTCTACCCATGGACTTCTAACTCTAGTTTGTATCTATTCCCATCATGAGTAACTAAGTTTATCTTGTATTGAAATTGAATGTAACTTATTAACTTCTTGTGTACTTTTCTTGACTTAATATATATAAACTCTTGCTATTCAATGTTAATGGTTTGATTTTATGCTTAAAAGTAAAGTGGTTTGATCAACTATCTTTTGATTTTTTATTTAGGTTTATGTTGGAAAATTGAACTTGGATATGTTTAAATCAAATCATCTAATAATGTTGTATGTTAGGAATGGACGTGACACAAATAAATAAATAAATATTTTTTTAGGAATGAATGTAACATATAATAAATAAATGAATAGAAAAATATAAAAAAAATTAGATAATATAAAAAGATGAGAGAATATAAAATCTTTGAATTCTTTTTATTTAATATATTTAATTATTTTTTTGGTTATTTATTAAAAGAATTAAAATTATATATATATATATATATATATATATATATATATATTATTTAAGTTAATATATATGTAATAGTTATTAAATTTAAATATTAAAAAAAATAGAAGTACCTAACTTATAAATCTACACTAATGACAAAAGAACTATATTTTCCTGACAATCATTTATTTGATTTTCTTTTCTTTTAAGGTTTTGTTGTTTATTTGTTGATATAGAATTATTTATTTGGAATCATTTAACTTATTAACGAAAATTATTTCGTTTCTTTCTTTTAAAAATACATAATAGTCGACTGGAGTTGTTTTGCTAAAAATGATGAATGATATCATATGACATAAAGTTGTGTAATATTTCAATTTGATTACAATACTTTTATAAAAAAATTAATAATGTAAAGGCTGGTGGGTTTTATTTGTCGTGTTCCACTTTGTTCCTTCTTACTATTTTTATGTTGGGTTGGATATTCCAAGGGCACTCAAATTGTTTGTAGCTTATTCATCACTTACTCCATATAAATGTTTCCCACATGAACCCAAAATAGGTTTAAGAGTGTGATGTTTGTTGATGAATCATTCTACAAGTTAAGTTCAATCACTCTTCTCGAAGTGATCTAAAAATTAGTTACATGCCAAAACCAAAACTAAATAAGTTAAGGGAGTTTGTATTTACAAAATTTGGATAGTTTCATTTCATACTTAAAAAAGATGTGATAATAATTATATTGTTTTTTTACTTGTTTCATGCACCAATGAAATTTATTTGATCATCGGATTTTACTGTGTTACCTTATATTTATTCATGTAGAGTATTTTTACACCGAGAGGAGTTAAGTAAAAAAGAAAAAAAATCTATATGTTCTATGTGGGATGATTTATTTTCATGGAAATGTGAATGTAAATTTAATTTTAATTTAAATAATAATAATTATTTTTATTATTATTATTATTTAATTATATATATATAAACTTTTGGAGAAAGAAAAATAAAAAAGTATAATTTTAAAAAATATATTTTAATTTATATATTTAAAATAATAAAAATATGAGAAAGAGAAAAGGATAAATATATATATTTAAATAAAAAAAGAAAAGAAAATAATATTAAAAAAATTATAAAAAATTGTAGACACACATACACTTTAGTATATATATTTTTATTAATTATATATAATATGGATTCCTTTTATAAATTTTTTTTAATAAAAAGGAGTAAAACAAAAAATAATTATTATTATGATTTATATATTTAGAAAGTAATAAATATATGAAAAAAATATGATAGTAATTAATATAATAAAAGTATATATTAAAAATCGAAAGAAAAATTAAAATAAAATATACAATTGAAAAGAAATTATAGAAAATATAGTCACAGAAATGTTTTAACATTCATTAATTATCATAATTATTTTTCACACTAATTAGTTTTTTAAATTTGAAAATTATGATTATTCAACTTGAAAATTCTTATTCTTCAAACTTCTGAAATTTCCTCTCTCTTTCTTCATCATCTAACTTGTATTTCACCCATTAGGAAGAAGATGCAGGAGATCATTCTGGTTCATTCATTCCAATTTCTTTCAAGATGGACCCAACAAACATCATTAAAGAGTTTCATAAGCCCAGGAACATGCATCATACAGAGAACTACTTACTGACACATGTTTCGCATTATTAACGATTGCAGATAAAGTCAGTCACACCGCATGCACGCATATCAAGAAGGCACGCAACAAGAGAAGATGGCTATGAGCGAAAACCCCAAGTTAGTCACCAATTTACCTGTATTTGCAAACAAAAATCGATAGCAAGAAAACTAAAGAGGTCATTTTTGTCTTCTCTGTTCAATCTTATTTTTCTTTTATCTTAAAGCTCAACGTGAAATGTCTAGCTGTCTCACTCAAAATTTTTAGGAATAAGTTATTGGATAGTTTTTTTTTTTTTTTTATGAAGAATCGACAACATACGATCTTCCAAATTCTACTTAATTATCATAGTCTTCTGTTGACTAATTAATGCCTTGAGTCTTGAAACTTGGTGGAAGGAAAAGATAGGGGTTGAAAGGTTTTCTTATATATATATATATATCAGACTATTCAACTGGAGTATGATCAATTTTATTAATTAATAATACTATTTTAAAATTTGATTTAATATTTATAATGGGGTTTTTTATTTTTAATACTTGAATTTGAGAATATCACTTAAATAATGATGTGTTGATGGCAAAAAAAGAGTTATTACATAATCTAACTTCAATAAAGAAAATACAGTAACAGTGAAAAAAGCAGCGTCAGAATAATTTAATAATTATAGGTAAAAAAAAAAATTTGGAAAAATTTAATGTATTTGGTCATGGTAGGAATGTTCAAACTGAGGCACTCAGGCACGTAGTAATTACCGAAGAAATATAATGTACCGAAGCCTCATATATACTAACTCCTCTCTCGTCATAAACTATTTCCTGTTTTCTGTGCCCCTCCAAAACTCTGCAGGAGAAAAATGGAAGCAGCGTTCAGAACGATTCTGGTGTTGATTCTGATACTTTTTCTGATATGGGTCTGGAGGATTCTGAACTGGCTATGGTTCACACCAAAGAGACTTGAAAGATTTCTCAGAAAGCAAGGTCTTCAAGGCAATCCTTACAAGTTTTTCGTTGGAGACATGAATGAGTACAGGAATCTGAGAAAGGAAGCTTTCTCCAAACCCATGAATCTCTTCTCTCACGACATAGTGCCGCGTGTGTTTTCCATTTTCGATCACAGTATCAACACATATGGTATGCTTGTCGTTATTGTGTTTCTGCAACTCTTGTCACCTCTTTGTTTGTTCATGTCTTCTTTTGTTTTGTCTAAGTACTGTGTAGCTGAAGCACCGATGGTAACTTGGTTAATACTTGTTCAGAATAGATTAGGCTCACATGATTCTCAATAATTGTTCATGAGTTAGATTTGGATAGCTTTGCATGCAGGTAGAGCAGATTTTTTTTTTTTTCTTTATTTCACTCGCAGATTTGCATGTGAGGGATTAGAATTGGATAGCTTAACAGATACTATCTGATAGAGAAGATGAAATTTTTTTCTCCATCCTGGGATATTAGAAAACAAGTGTAATTAATTTATCTGCATTTCAATATTACTTAAATGTACTAGACGACTCTTTTTTTTCTCTATTTGCGTGTTAGATATCCGTACCTATAAGTGCTACATGGATTTTAGGCCAAGGTTAATGGTATGTTTGGTACAGAGGAGAACAAATATTGCAGATCTAGAAATAAGGCAAATGTGTTTGGTATACACTTTCCTCTTACTTAAAAGTTCACAACTTTTAAAGATGATTTCCAACTCAACTCTCTCTCCCGGCTCCCTAACCAAACATTTCATAGAAGATACACTTTTCTGTTCCTTAGATTATATTTGACTTCTCAAAATACAGCTTTATTGGGGTGGATAGCATAACTACTGCTTCAATAAGTGCATATTGTAAAAAACTAACATTTCCTAGTGCCTAAGGCTCCTCACATACATGTGAAGGTTCGGGGGAGGATCATCTTATATGCAGCCTTAATCTAGTATGTGCAAAGATATTGTTTCCGGATTTGAATCCATGATTAAATGGTCACGAAGGTGAAAGAGAAATATGTACAAGATGTATGAACAAAATAATGGTAGATACGTAATCAAAGACCTCCATCAAATTACTTTCTAGGAAGATAACTCTGCCACTTTTATAAACTTTATTAGGCAAGACTACAGTACAGGAAGACCCGTTATCCTTTCTGGTTTTTCTTTTGTCCTTGGAAAAAGTATTAAAATAGTAATTAAAGAATCACAAATCAGAAAATCAGTGGAGGCCTACTGATTGAGATAGATGGTATTGATTGATCCATGTAGCTAATCCCATGTGGTGAGATAAGACAACAATTGACTAGTGTTTCTGAATGAAACAAAACACCATCATTTCAGGCCCTCTTCTGTTCCTGGACCCAAACTAAAACCAAACCTTCTAGGAGATAAATAGTGATAGAAATTACATGGATTAATCCCTTTGTCCAAATTTAGTTCATAAAGATGTCTATCAAAACATCATATATAATAAAAAATAGGAGGCATTTAACAAATAACAGCTAAAAAGTTCACTGTCCAAACATGGCCATGTAAATATACTAGATGCATTAGTTAAAACACGGGGTCAAAACTCCAAGCCGTGATGATGATATACACTGATTGAGTTCCCACTAGGTTGAGAAATCCCAAAAGCTATAAAGTAGCTACATTTTGGTTAGCTACGAAGTTTATTGATTAGTTTTAGGCATTTAGACTATTGATCAATATCTATAACTCCAACTAGTTGCAGTTGAATAAACACTTGCAGCAGTACAAAGAAATATCTGGGAAACACATTTCAGACTGATGCCAGACTGTTAAGATGTCTATATATGCAAATTGCTCATTCGTTTACTGAAACCGTCTCAATAATTTGAGGTAAGTAGAACACTATACTAGTTAGATCAAACTACTTTTTGTATCATGCATAAATGTGATCAACACCAGTCACATCCCATTAGTAATTTAATGACCAACAATTGGAGATGCCTATAATTACAAATGACATGAAACTAGGTGCATTTTCAATCATCTAGAGTTTGACATCACATGATATAATGAATGTAGAGCAAGAATATTGGTAAATTTTCAAGGCATACTTTAAACTAAAGCAGATTAATGCACTGTTCCTTTTTGCAAAAGGAAAAGGTGTAGGCAGGCAAGGTCTAAATTTTCTTAGAAATGGTTGAAAAACGGAATTCATCAAGGATTGAAAGGTTGATGGTGCATTGGTGAGGCCAAAGGGCATGACTATTCATAATGGCCTGCATAGGTTTTAAAGGTTGTTTTATAGATATCACCCGGATCCATCCTGACTTAGTTATAACCCGCTCTCAAATCAATTTTGGTAAATATAGAAGAACCATATAATTCATCCAAAAGGTCATCCATGAGAGGTATAGGGAATTTGTTCTTAACTGTAGTTTTGTTTAAATCCTTATAGTCCACACATAGGCACCAAGTACCATCCTTTTTTCCCACCAAAACCACATAATGCTAGTTTTAAGATATTCCTGGACCAAGTTGTCAATAACATCCTTCTGGGACTTAGCATAGCGGTAGGGTCATTTATTTACTGGATTGGCACCTTAAATTAGAGGAATTGTATGATCCAATCCTAAACGAAAAGATGGTAAGCCTGATGGTAGTTGAAAAATATCTTCAAATTCAACCAGCAATTGTTGAATAGGCAGAGGAATGGGTGGGGATTCTGCATGTACTATTAACGTGTGAAAGAGATCTATTCCCGAGTCACATAGCTGCAACAGAGAAATGTGAACACCTCCTTCCATTGCTTTTAGCATTTGTTGCTTGGATGCTGTCTTGAGGTGGGGTGTATGTGATCCTTTCAAGACATGGTGTGTCCCACTGACGTTAAACTCCATGGTAAGATTAGAAAAGTTTCATATGATGTCGCCCAAAGTAACAAGCCATTCAAATCCGAGAACCAAATCACAATAGCCCAAAGGAATTAAAAACACATCAGAAACAAAGGTTGTATGTTGGAGACGCCATGAAAAATTTCTAACCATAGAGGCAACTTTAACTTTGTTTTCATCAGCCACTGTTACGGTTAAAGGGTCACGTTCCTCTATAAGACATCCAAATGTCTTGGCAACTTGTATATCCAAGAAATTATGGGTAGTACCATTATCCAGTAAAATATGTAGAGGATGTTTATTAACATACCCTGTAATTCTCATAGTCTGAAAATTTGCTACTCCAGTCAAAGCGCTTACAAAAATTTTTGGTTGGGGAATATCTTCTAATTCGTCACTTTCATTTTCTTGTGGATTATCTTGGAGTTCCATAACATGCAGTTGCAGTTTCTTGTGTGTAAGACCATGCTCGGGAGAATAATGTTCATCACAAAAATAACACATTCCTTTAACACGTCGTTCATTGATGAAGGTTGGTGTTAATGCACGAATTGGTCGTAATTGTGGTTTACTATTGTCGCCAGATTTAGATGGAACAGGAGGTACCGAATTAAGAGGTATAGGACCTAACAGACCCTTAGTTTTGTTAAAATTCCAAGAAGAATCCACCGTAGTAGATGTACTTGATGCTTCATACATCTTGGCTAATACAAAAGCCCTTTGTACCATTGGAGGTTGAAACATGTGGACAAGCATTTGGATGTTCTTCTTTAGGCCATCCAAGAAACAACTAATGGTATCATCTTCGGACAGATTTAATTGATTGATGATGGGGTCAAATGCGTCATAATACTCATCAACTATGGATGTTTGACGTAATTTCATTAAATCAGCCATAGGATTGATAGAGATGTTCCCAAACCTTTCACGAATCAAACAACAATAAGCTTTCCAAGAAAGATTCGAACATGGGGTATGTTTGGTGAGTGCAGTGTGCCATTGTGCCGCTCTGTCGTCAAGATGAATAATAGTCAATTGTAATTGTGAGTCATCTGGAGTTTTGTCAATGGAGAAAAAAATTCTCACATTGAAAAATCCATTGTTCAACATTGTCACTGTTAGATATTGTTTAGATATTATTTGATATTGTTAAGATATTGTTAGATATTGTTAACCACAATATCAAACAATATCTTCTGTTTATTCTGTTACTTTCAGTTACTCTTTTAGTTATATCTCTCTACTATAAATAGACTACCCTATGTGTGATTTATACACAAGGGAGATTAATCCCAAACTCTATTTCTTCTATATTCAACATGGTATCTAGAACTTAAGGTTATTTTGAAATTTTTTTTCGCCTTTGACCACTATTGAAGCCGTCACCACCGCCGCTATCGCTATCGGTTATTTGGTAGTGTGAAAGTACATGTCTAGGAAAGTTCTGACAAGGAAAGACTTGGTATTTAAGTGTGTCCATTAGTGACCCACCTCTCTTTCCTGGGAACTTACCTGGTGTACTGGTTCACGCCTCCGCCCTTTATGACTTCTTCCGCTCCTTTTAGTACTTCCAATTCTGTCAGTACTGCGTCTGATCCTTCCATCTACACTAACTATGTTAATGTGCACTTATCCATTGACAAGTTAACTGACCCTAATTATGCCACATGGTCATCAGACGTCAGATTATGGCTTAAGAGTCAGAAGTATCTTGATCATCTCGCCCCGAAAGCACCTACTCTCACTCCTGGTGAGGAAGACCATTGGGACACCATTGATGCTCAATTATGTGTGGTTCTCAAGGGTACTCTTGATCCTTTGTTAAAACAAATTTTTCGTTCCTACGAAACATGTGTCAAAATCTGGGAACATGCCAAGTTATTATACACCAATGATACTCAACGTCTTTATGATGTTTGTTCTAAATTTGTAGATGTTATTGCCTCTAAACATCAAGATTCTATGACTGATTATATGGGCAAAATTCATGCTCTTTTTCATGAGTTCAATGAGTTATTGCCTCCTTCCCCTGACCCTGCCACCGAGATAGGACAACGATCAAAGTTTTTCATGTTAGGGGCATTACACGGACTTGCTGATCAATATTCACATATTCGTGATCAGATTTTGGGTTCTCCGGTTGTCCCCACCTTAACATCGACCTGCTCCACTCTTTTGCATATACTAGCAAAACCCAACCCTGACACACCTGTTTCTGCATTGGTATCTCACCATGATGACCGAACTCGCCCTCGCAAATAGGGAAAAAGGCATCCTAAGTGTGAACATTGTGGCAAGCTAGGTCACAAGATTGACCAGTGTTATACATTACATGAATGTGAACATTGTGGCAAACTAGGTCACAAGATTGACAAGTGTTATGCATTACATGGTTGTCCTCCTCTATCTGTTGCAGTTGCTCAGACTGATCTTTCCCCACCTTTATCTGCTAAGGATCCTCCTTCTATTTCATCAGACACACCTGCTATGTTCAACAAATTTCTCAAATGGTATAAGGATCAACAGTCTTCTAGTTCCACATTGTCTGTCGCACACACAGGTACATCTTTTGCTTGTCTGACCCAATCTTCTTCTGGTCCTTGGGTTTTTGATTCAGGAGTCACTAATCATATTACTGGTAACAAATATTTGTTCTCCTCTTTATCTTCTCCTGATCCTTTACCTTTTGTTACACTGGCTGATGGCTCTAGAGTATCATCTCATGGTGTTGGAACTGTTAAACTTTTTCCTTCTTTAACCATTGATAATGTTCTTTATGTCCCTAGGTCTCCTTTTAACTTGTTATCCATCAGTCGTGTAACTCGTTCTCTTGATTGTGTTGTTTCTTTTACCAACAATTCTGTGTGTTTACAGGACCGGAGTTCGAAATAGGTGATTGGCACAGGATGTGAGTCTCATGGTCTTTATCATCTTCGTCCCTTTACACATGTTGGTGCAGTTATAGAGTCTCCCTCTCTTCTCCATGCTCAGTTAGGTCATCCAAGTCTTGCCAAGTTACAGCAACTTGTCCCTACCTTATCTAAATTGTCTAATTTGGCATGTGATTCGTGTCAATTAGGCAAGCATAGTCGTATTTCCTTTCCTCGTAGTGTCACACGTGGTGCTTCGTCCCCTTTTGTCGTGGTTCACTCTGACATTTGGGGACCTAGCCGCGTCAAGTCTACTTTAGGTTTTCAATACTTTGTTACTTTCATTGATGATTATTCCAGATGCACTTGGTTATTTTTGATGAAAAATTGCTCTGAATTATTTCATATCTATAAAACTTTTTTCAATGAAATTCAAACTCAGTTCGGTGTTTCTATTAAAGTTTTGTGCAGTGATAATGGTCGTGAATATCTGTCTCATTCTTTTAAACAATTCATGGCTTCTCATGGTATTTTACATCAAACTTCTTGTGCTTATACACCTCAACAAAATGGTGTAGCTGAACGTAAAAATAGACATCTTATTGAAACAACTCGCACTCTTTTAATTCATGGAGAGGTTCCTCAGCATTTTTGGGGTGATGCTCTTCTTACTGCATGTTATCTTGTTAATCGCATGCCATTTTCGGTTTTAGATAATAAAATACCTCATTTCATTTTATTCCCTCATGAACCACTTCATCCCTTAACTCTAAAAGTTTTAGGGTCTACATGTTTTGTTTATAATTTCAGTTCTGGTCTTGACAAACTTTCTCCTAGATCACATAAATGTGTTTTCTTAGGGTTTACAAGATCACAAAAAGGATACAAATGTTTTTCTCCTTCTCTTAACCGTTATTTTGTGTTTGCAGATGTCACATTTGATGAGTTCTCTTTTTATTTTAAAAGTCAATCTTCACCTCTTTCTCCATCCAATCTTGTCAACACTCCTAGTACATTTAATGTTCCTATTGTTTGTGACCCTCTAACTGTGTCTTCTTCACCATTAGTTTCTACTCCGCAGTCAGCTTCTTCTTCACTGCCTCTTCAGGTTTATAGTTGCCGAAACCAATCACAACCACCACCATGTGACTCTACTCAAATGCCAACTACTCTGTCTCCTCCGGATGTGACACCTGAGTCTGACCTTCCCATTGCCCTCCGAAAAGGTATTCGTTCTACACGTAATCCCTCTCCCCATTATATTAGTTTGAGTTATCATCGATTGTCATTACCTTTTTATACATGTCTTTCCTCTCTTTCTTCTGTGACCATTCCAAAAATTGTCCGTAAAGCTTTAGCCCATCCTGGTTGGCGTCAGGCCATGTTAGATGAACTAAGTGCTCTTCATAATAGTGAAACTTGGGAATTGGTCTTGTTACCGTATGAAAAATCTGTTGTTGGTTGCAGGTGGGTGTTTGCTATCAAAGTTGGACCTAATGGTACTATTGATCGCCTCAAAGCTCGTCTTGTGGCTAAAGGTTATACTCAAATTTTTGGGTTGGATTATGGAGATACCTTTTTCCCTGTGGCAAAGATGACTTCTGTTCGTTTATTTATCGCCATGGCCGCTCTTCAACAATGGCCTCTTTATCAACTAGATGTTAAAAATGTTTTTCTCAATGGTGATTTGCAAGAAGAAATCTATATGGAGCAACCTCTTGGGTTTGTTGCTCAGGGAGAGTCTTCTGGGATGGTATGTCGTCTTCGCAAATCCCTATATGGCCTAAAACAGTCTCCTAGGGCCTGATTTGGAAAGTTTAGCAAGGTTGTTTAACAATTTGGTATGACTCGGTGTGAAGCAGATCACTCTGTCTTTTATCGACACTCAAGTGCTAGATGTGTTTACTTGATAGTATATGTTGATGACATCGTTCTTACAGGTAGTGACAACCATGACATCTCTCAGTTGAAACAACATCTTTGTCACCATTTTCAGACCAAAGATCTTGGCAAACTTAGATATTTCTTGGGTATTGAGGTGGCACAGTTCAATGATGGTATTGTTATATCTCAGAGGAAGTATGTCATGGATATTTTGGAGGAAACTGGGTTGATGAATTCAAAGTCTGTTGATACGCCCATAGATCCCAATACTAAACTTTTACCAAATCAGGGGGAGCTTATACCTGATCCTGAGCAGTATAGAAGATTGGTTGGAAAATTGAATTATCTTACAGTTACTCGTCCTGACATTTCCTTTGTAGTCAGTGTGGTAAGCCAATTTCTTAATTCTCCATGTGAAGATCATTGAAATGCAGTCATTCGTATCTTAAAATATATTAAAGGATCTCCTGGAAAAGGATTGTTATATGATTCTAATAACCATAGTTGTTTGCTACTCAAATGCTGATTGGGCAGGATCTCCTTCGGATAGAAGATCTACATCTGGATATTGTGTCTCTATTGGTGCTAACTTGGTCTCATGGAAAAGTAAGAAACAAAGTGTTGTGGCAAGATCTAGTGCAGAAGCAGAATATAGAGCTATGGCCTCAGCTGCTTGTGAACTTGTTTGGCTCAAACAATTACTTAGAGAGCTACAATTTGGAGATGTCACTCAAATGTTACTTATGTGTGACAATCAGGCTGCTCTTCGTATTAGTTTTAATCTTGTCTTTCATGAGAGGACCAAACACATTGAGATTGACTGTCATTTCATTCGAGAAAAGATTATGTCTGGAGACATCAAGACTGAGTTTGTTAACTCAAGTGATCAATTAGCAGATATTTTTACTAAATCTTTACGGGGTCCTAGAATTGATTATATTTGTAACAAGCTTGGAACATACGATTTGTATCCTCCAGCTTGAGGAGGAGTGTTAAATATTGTTTAGATATTATTTGATATTGTTAAGATATTGTTAACCACAATATCAAACAATATTTTCTGGTTATTCTGTTACTTTCAGTTATTCTTTTAGTTGTATCTCTCTACTATAAATAGACTACCCTATGTGTGATTTATACACAAGGGAGATTAATCTCAAACTCTATTTCTTCTATATTCAACAGTCACCGTTAAGTCTTGGAAATTCTATACGAGAGAAGTGGGTGTTTACTGAAGATGGGGTTGTGTGCAGAGGCGGACGACCATTAGAAGAATGAGTATATGCAGAACAGATTGCTGAACTATTTCTTGGATAGTATCTTTGAAAGATTAAGAGAGTCTTCTTTGAAGATTCCCAGCCAAATTTGCCAACTTGCCTTCCAATCGTACAGCAAGACGTTCTTTCATATCTTTAAGTAATGTTGCATTAGAGTAGATTTTGCCATGGATCGCCCAATCCGATACCAATTGTTATGGAGATAAACTAGTAGCGCGGACGGAATGCCGAGAGAGAGAAACGTAGGACAGGAAACAAAGAAGAGAAATACAGAAAAATGAAACCCAATGGTGGGAACCAAAGTTCATGTTAAGATTGGAAGAGAACATACAATGAATTCTAATCTCTTTCCTAAATACAGTTTACAACAACTATTTATAAACTAAGGCCGTAACTTTTATAAGTTGGCCAAGTTATAACATTTTTCTAGAGTTACTCTTGGAATAACTTCATCCCTCCTCATATATATTATGTGTGTGATAACAGACAACATGTTTGAATAACTTTACTGTTTTGTATGTGCTAAACATTAACATGATTTGTAAATCATGTAAAATTCACCACAAGGAGAGTAGTCTATTCTCTTAAATTCTTGATTTTTTTTTTCTTTTCATATTATGTATGGTTGATGGTATGCAGGCAAAAATTCATTTATTTGGTTTGGACCAACTCCAAGGGTGACCGTCACAGATCCTGAGCTAATCAAAGAGGTATTAAACAAGATGCATGACTTCAGAAAGATTAATATGAATCCACAAGTCAGGTTACTAGCACCTGGTCTTGTAAGCCTTGAGGGAGAAAAGTGGAGCAAGCACAGAAAGATAATCAATCCTGCTTTCAATTTAGAGAAGTTGAAGGTTAGTGCTGCACATGTGTGTGTTTTATTTTGCATGTAAAAGTTTCTCTACACAAAAATGTATTCTCTTCTCTTGTTGGTGTACATGTAACATGATGTGAAGTTTGAATATTTATGTGCTTAAGTTGACATGGAAAATTTTAAGACCTTGCTATTTCTTCATTACACCTCAGAATATGTTACCACTGTTCATCAAATGTAATGATGATCTGATTAGCAAATGGGAGGAACTGTTGTCTTCAGATGGATCAAGTGAAATAGACGTATGGCCTTTCCTTCAGAATTTGGCTAGTGACGCCATTTCTCGAACAGCATTTGGAAGTAGTTATGAAGAAGGAAGAAGAATATTTGAACTTTTAAGAGAGCAGACTGAACATACAGTGAAAGTTATGTTGAAAGTTTATATCCCTGGATGGAGGTAAGGCTGATATATATTTGACTAATTTATAGACTTAAGTGATCAAGCTTATTGGATGAGCTTTGTTCAACTAAACTAATTTTTCCATACTTTGGTAAAGGACATTAGAAAATAATACTTATCATTTAGAATCAAAGATACTTGATTACAACAACCATTTTACCAAATATTATGAGATATCTCTTAAGTTCAACTTGGAAAATCACACTAGGTTTATCATTGAAAAAACCATCATTAGAAGTCTAGTTGATATAAAAATGAGAATTCTCTTCAGATCATGATTGATACAGGATTGGTTATGTTCACTTGTAGGTTTGTACCTACTTCTACCAATAGAAGAATGAGTGCAATTGACAGAGATATAAATGCTTCACTTATGAATCTTATCAAAAACAGAGAGGCAGCACTAAAGGCAGGTGAAGCCACTAAAAATGACTTGTTAGATATACTTCTGGAGTCAAATCACAAGGAAATGCAAGAACAGGGAAACAATAAGAATGTTGGAATGAATATTGAAGATGTAATTGGGGAATGCAAGATATTCTACTTTGCAGGGCAGGAGACCACTTCATCTTTGCTTGTTTGGACAATGATATTATTGTGTATGTACCCTGATTGGCAAACACGTGCAAGGGATGAAGTCTTACGAGTTTTTGGCAATCGAAAACCAGATTTTGATGGACTGAACCAACTTAAGATTGTAAGTTTGCACTACCATCTTGATATTGAATAACATGCTCTAAGTAATTACTAAGAATATTTTTGCCACAGGTTTCCATGATTTTGAACGAGGTTCTTAGGTTATACCCACCAATAGTTGGTTTTGCTCGAAAAGTTTGTAAAGATGTGAAACTTGGAAACCTATCATTAGCTGCTGGAGTGCATGTTTCCATACCAACAGTTTTGGTTCACCATGATTCTGAGCTCTGGGGTGATGATGCTAAGGAATTCAAACCTGAGAGATTTGCTGAAGGACTTCTAAAGGCCACAAATGGCAGAGTTTCACTAATTCCCTTCGGAGGGGGTCCTAGGATATGCATTGGACAAAACTTCACCTTGTTGGAAGCAAAGATTGCTTTGTCAATGATTTTACAACGTTTCTCGTTTGAACTCTCTCCAACCTATACTCATGCTCCAACTACCGTGATTACTCTTCAACCCCAGTATGGTGCTCCTCTCATTCTACGTAAGTTGGAAATATAAATGAAAATAATAATTATCTGCTACTGTTTGGTTAGCATTATGCTTTTGAAAAGCTTACAATGTAATAATATTTGAAGAGGACCGACAGAGACACAAACCTTTTCATATCACTATTGTTAGTTTCTTTTCTGAAGTATTAATGTGGGAAATGCTTATAATTTCTTTTAAGCATATCGATCTATATGTGTTCGTCGAGGGTATTTATTAGAATCATCGAACTAATCCTAGTTAGTCGTTTGACATTGTGAGAAATTGCAAACAAATGCAACTAAGATGCAATACTATGGTGAATAAACAAATATTGATCTAATTGCCAAAATTGCAAGAACCATTTTTTAAAACATCAATACCTGTCCATTTATTTAATTTATTTTTCTGACTCGTTGTCTTACGTACGTGTTTGGTTTATAAAGCAGGAAATGTTAAACAAAAAATAACATAAGGGAACATGAAGGTGGAAAAGAAAATAAAGTCGAATGGAGAGTGAAAAGAGGGAAACAATAATAGGGAGGAAGAGAAAAGAAAAATAAACGGATAAGGAGGAATAGTGAAGAAGAGAAATCAATGAGAAAAAAAAACTTACAATAAGAAATTGCTTGGTTTGTATTTGATTTTGATTAAACAAATACGTAAATATTGTTAGTAATATTTTTCTTTAAAAATAATATTTGTAGTTTCTTTTTAAGTGGGGACCAAAGTTTCAAAATTTGAGAAGAATTTTCCAAGATGAAGTTCATGATGTAAAAATTACTTATGAAACAAATTTTAGACATTACAAGAGGAACAAAATAATGAAAGGAAAATTAGAAATCACAGTTAAATTCATATGTTTGGGATCGATCCATCCCGTACCATTAAGAATAAAGGCAGGTCCTGAATTTTTTTGCCCTAAGACGAGAGTAGGAATAAATAATGTAATTCTCACTTGAGTTTTGTCCTTGTCTTAGTCTTTTATCACATTTTTATATTTAAATTTAAATAATAAAAATTTAATATTTTTAAAATATTTTTTTTCGTATTACATGTCATATTATTTTTTTATATTTTATCATTTTTATTTTTTCTTCTATCCACTCTTCACTTTTTTATTTTTTTCAATTTCTTAGATTAAATTCATTATATTATTCTTCTTTTTTTATTTTTTATTTTTTTTGCATTTTCTTAATCCTTTCAATCAATTTGGTTTTTTCAATACAAACACAAAATTAATTTTTCTTCCTTTTTATCTTTTTCTAGTATTAATAGTTATTAATTTTATTATTTCTAATTTATCTTTATTAAGTTTTATTATATTATATTTTTAAAATTTTATTATTCCTATTTGTATTTATCAAAATTTTTTAATAAAATAATTATATTTTGAAAGGTTAAAAAGAATTGACAATTAATATTTTTTTCAAATTAATTAAATAAGAATTAATTTATTAAATATTTTCTCATAAACTACATATTTCATATTTATAAATATTTTAAAATGATAACTTAAAAATTAATTAATTTATATATCTAATAAAATGTTTAAATGCAATGTTATTATAATAATAATAATAATAATAATAATAATAATAATAATAATAATAATGTTATAAGTATTTTATATAAATATGAAGAAAAAAATAATTATACATTTTTTACATATATATTTTAATATAAATATAATAAATTAAAATATATATTAATTAATAATAGTAATTAAAAAAATATAAAATTATAAATATTTATTTTTTATAAAAATACATTAAATAAAATATTAAAATTAATTTATTATATGTACAATTATTTTTTAAAAATAACGTGGAATAAGAATGGGTCAGAGGTAATAAGATCTAGAACAACCCAACACAAACTAAAGATTTAATTTCTAACATTGACAATAAATAAAAAGTGAGGTGAAAATAATTAAAAAAATTAGAAATGGAGATCGAGAAAATAAAACATATTCCGCCTCACCTCGTTATAACACCAAAGAAAAATTAGTAGAAGAATGAAACAAAGAATTTCAAAGAAGATTATGGCTATATCCAATATTTCTTTTAGAAAATACCAAAATTTAATAGTCATTTAGGTTTATTTTTGTAAAATAATAAGTAATAGAATTAAGAGGTTTTTTTTCCATTGGTTGAGAGTTGAATCTCTCTTTCAATTTTATCTTAATTTTTTATATTTAAGTGAGAGTTTATCCTTTTCACTTGAATCTTTTAAGTGACATATTCATCTCTTTTTTCTTTTCTCTTTTTTCTAAATTAATTTTTGGTTAATTGTGATTGTGAGTCTATGTAAACCAATAAATAACTCTCATCCATGATATTTCATCGTTCCTATTGGTTTTAGCTTGTGAGTCTTAATTCTTTTTCATTAAATATTAAGCTTGTTGTCATAATAATTTGGAATAAGGAGTGTGGTGATAAGATTGAAAATTTAGCTCAAAGGAAATTGGGTGTTGAGTTTTACGAAAATGAAATATTGTTGAATCATATTTATTATATAATATAAGGTTCACTAGATGAAAAAACGAGTTATAATCAAGGGTTATAATCAAGATTATAAATTCCACTAATCCGTCAAATATTTTTTATATAAAATCTTTTTATATATATATATATATATTTTTAGAATACATTTTAATTTTATAAATAATTTATAATTTTTTAATTATCAAATAATATTTTTATTAAATAAATTAAAAATCATTATATATATATATTAAAATAATTAATTTTTATAATTTAAATTATAATATTATAATATATTTACGTATTTTAATAATATAACCAAAAATATAAAAGTAGGTGACAAACCAAACCTAAAAACTACACTTGTCCATGTTTTATGTGTTTTGAAAGTGCCTTCAACTTGTTTGAATAATAATTTCCAATATACCTCCAATATATTATAGTGAACGGTGGTTTTGGGATAAAGAAACGAAATTACAGTTGCAGTCACAACGATCGTCCTCTGTAATCGCCATTTGCATAAAATCCAAGTCACCATTTGCATAAAATCCAAGTATTTAATTTATTGTTTTCGGCAAAAAGACATGAAGAGGAAATGAAATTAATTTAGGGCAGTTTTCCTGAATTTAAACATGAAGGAAACATGTAAAAAAGCTTAAAGCTGCCCCAAAAGAGATCAGATGTTGGCCGGGTGAAATTGAGATCTCATACACCATTTGCTGAGAACCCATTGGATCGGCCGAAAACCATTACTCAAAAACCCTAAACAAACAAACAAATATAATAATTGAGAAAACTAAACAAACAAATATAATAAATTGAGAAAACTAAGAAAACAAATATAATAATTGAGAAAACTAGGAAAACAAATATAATCACCTATTGAGAAAAACTAAGAAGAAGCAAAGCTATGTGCAAATCATTCTCACGCTTACTGCATCACAGGAATCAAAATTGCAGAAAGAAAATGAGAAGAATTAGGGTTTTCTATTTGCCCGCAACGGAACTCAGACGCCATTGCAATGCTGCTGCGCCCGGTTCTCTCAAAGGCACTTGAATACCTAATTGCGGGTCATCCTATTTATATACAGAAAATGAGTCTTGCGCGAAATGTCTCTTTTACCCTCAAACATAGGGTTTCTTATTTTCTATCCGTTAGAAAAGTATACAGATACTCACTTGCCAGTTAGAGAAGTATGTCTTAAAGATGAGATGTAGATCCTTCTCATTCGCCCAAAATCCTCTTTTAAATTTTATTTTTTATATATATTTATTTTGAAGAAAAATAGTGGGAATTTGGACTAAAATAATATAAATTTTTTTATTTGAAATTTAAAATAAAACATTTTCTTTATGAAAATTAAAATGATATTATATTTTAAAATATTAAAAATACGTTTAACCAAAATATAAATAAAGCCAAATAATTAACTTTTTCAATTTTTTTAGTCATTAGATTTTTTATGTAATTAAATTTTCGCAACAAAAATTGATTGATATTATTTGAAGGAGTCTCTCTAGTCCATCACATTTATTAGATTTAAATTTAACTAAGACTAATAATTAAATTGTGCATTAATTAAATTAATGGGTTTACTGCACCACATCTTCATTTTAATATTTTTATTGAATTAATTATTGTCGTCGATATAAATTAATAATTATTTTGTATATTGTATAAAAAATTAATTTAAGTAAAACTCAAAGAATAAATTCAAATTAAAATGCATTAAATTATAAGAAATATGTATTATTAATTTAACCTCTAAAAAGAATATTGGCAGACAAGATTAGAAAACAAAATATATTTTAAAAGTATTAATAGTCGAGATTTGACAAAAAATATAACAAGGAAATTTTAAGCTGATCAAAATGAGATATTTTGAAAATGATAAAGAATTTGACTATTTTTAATTACAATAAACTCAACACGTAATCTTTAAGACGAACAAGCCATTATTTGCATTTAAATTTTGGATATTTAAATGACTTTTCTTTAATTATATTCAAATTAATTATGATGTGTAGGATACAGTGTCTTCTACCCTAAGAACAAAATCTTCAACATAAATGTTTTCAGCTTCTGGACCATAAAGTCATTACCAAAGAGAGTTGTTTCTAGGCAACCCTCAAAGCCAGAGTTTTTTATGGCCAGTACAAACTTCATAATTTCAAGTTATAAAATGCAACGTTCAACAAAACAATGATATAATCAAACTAAAGGGCAAAACAGATTGAATACTTTGAATCTGAAGTCTAGAATGTTCAGGGTAAAGGAAAAAACAAAGACACGCTACCCTAAATACAATTTAAAAAGATAACATTTGTAAAAATCATGATATCTAACCAATTGTTCTTCATGTTAAGTTTTCATTCTATTTTTTCACCACCAAGATATACTACACAGATCCCAAAACATGTACCCCATCTTGCCAGAAGGGGGAGCATGCTCCTCAGCTATTTATTTCTCTTGCAAACAGCCACCTTCTTCATGTAAATCACGGAAGCTACATGCAAATACAATTAGGTACATTTCACATGACTAACCATAAGCACTGTTCAATAAATTGGAATGATGTCAACTTTTTTATTCACATGGTCATAATACAGGATGCAATCGTGATTCTCATTCATGCAAGCAAAGAAATCATTGCGTATTTGCAGTATAGGTTAAACTTAATGGACAAAGCAGACAATTTAAAACTTGGACAACAATATTATTGCCAAAACATGTTATCATTGTAGGATATTCAAATTCTTTATGCATGCATTGCAGAGAAGAAAGTATCAACTTGGTGGCCTTGATTTCATCACAGTTTTTGTTTGCCAGTGGGGTTGAAGAGTTCGTTAAATCTACATTATATAAAAACACACATTTAATAGCAAAGAAAAGTTATCCAAAAAATGGCTAGATTATCACAATTTTACAGCAGTATAGAAAATTGAAGTATCCTATAAAAGTAATGTATTTGCTGAGACCCTACTCCACTGATTACAATCAACTATTCAAGTCTTATAAATTAAAGACTTATTATTTTTATATTGAAACAATTGTCAACTAAAATACTTGATTAATCATCCACTTTCTTTCACTTATCTTTATCTCTTTGGCAGGGTATTATCAGCAACATGTCAAACCCCCATCCTCATGAATTGGTCCTTTTGATATCTACCAACCACTTTTTCTTTACCGATGATTTCTGCCAATGTGAAAACTAACAAAAATTAATATTATTATTGTTTTTCTGACTCCAATTTTATTCGAGGACGGCCAATTATTCTCTGCCCTATAAATCCTTGCAACTCCACTATAACTCATTATTCCTCCCTAGATAAAAGATATTCCATATTCCAGTTACTTAGCAAGTGCACAATGAATCTAGCTTGTAAAGTCAACCCACTCTTCCCAAGAGATAGCAACAGGAAAAACTGCTAGTAGAGCATGTACCCACACCAATTCAAAGCCTATTTATTTGAAATAAATGCTTTGGCTTATATCATGGGAAGAGGGGTAGAATTTAAATATTTCAACATCTGCAACAATAGGCATAAAACCTGATAATTAACAATCTAACAATAAGCAGGGATTATAAACAAATTCAGTTTCTCTGTAGTCAGGGACATAGTGTTCATTTAAAGACTTGAATAAATGATTAAACAAAAGATGCAAGCAGGCATATCAAACTCAACTGGAAGTACAATACCTTTAAAATTTCTTCATTGACCTAGTAGTCCAAAGTCATCAGGTGGCCATACCTAGTAACATACAGCATGTGAAAATCTTTAACCCAAGATTTAAAATCAGTAAATAGAACAAGTGTTAAAGCATAAAATGGTTTGACTGATTAATCAGAATAACCTAGTTTCCACACAGCAATGATGCTTCACTTTTCACTACAATGATAGATCAAATTATTCTAGGTTATAATATCTAAAATCAGTAACAAATATCAGCAATTGCCATTTGAAGATTGGACTTGCGGGTTTGACTAGTTAAACTGCGAACCAGTCTTGTAACCAGTCTAAACACTTCATAAAACCCAGAAATTTTAGAACAAGTGAGAACCGGCCAAAAAACAGAGCAAACTAGGGCCTTGAACCAGTGATTTAAAAAATATATTTTTAAAATTTAATATTAAAAATTTTAAATAAATAAAAAGTCATATTTAGTGATGTTTAAAAATTTATACGAATTATTCTACCAACTATTATCTTTTTGCTATAAAATGTATAATTTAACCATTTAAATCAATTTATATTTTTTATATCTTACTTTCATATAATTTTATATTATATCAATTTGTCATTATGTTTTTAATTTCGTATGTAAACTTATTATTGTTAATAGACATTATTGTAATTTATTAATTTAACATAATTTTATGATATATTATATTTATATTTTTATATTTGTTTTGAATGTTAAAAATCAAATACAATGATATTTTTTTATTTTCAATATCATAAAATTATGATATTATAGTATTTAAGTATTATTCCCTCTTGTCCTTAATATAATACACACAGGACAAAATAAAGTAATTAATTTAGTTGAATTTCTTAAAAAAAATGTACAAATTAACCTTCATCACTAATGAATTTTAAAATTCTCTTCTCACTATTTATTAAAAAGAACACAAATACTTATTGTTTCATATAGGAACGAGAGTGTCACATCCTCATTCATTATGATAGTATCGTTACAGTTAATTCTCAACATATTTGAGTCCAATTTGGAACTCTAGTCCATCGCAGTATTATCTTTAAAAAGTGTCTCGATGGGTAATATATTGTCTAGGAACGACTTCCATGTTCATGTCCGCTATGATAATATCGTTAGGGTCAACTCCAATGTCTGAGGTATTGTCTGTTTTAAAATTATAATCCGTCACGATACGCTCATGAGTCCTACATCGCTTAATAGTCAAGACTAATGATAGTTTATATACACCTTTCTTTCTTAGCCTACTAAGACGTCTTTTAAGGATAAAATCATGACGAACTCTCCATGTTACACGGAACACTTACAATATTTAATAGTTATAAAGGTTAAAATGTTGAACCTTGATGCACAGTTATTGGTTTCAACTACAAAATCGCTAGATGTATCCAAGTACACTAGTAAAATAAATAATAATAAATATTGCATTGTATTAACATAACAGTATCAATATCTCACTCTTCAATTTTATGGGAAATAAAAAATATTATACCACTTGAAGCTAAGAGAAAAGTGCATCTGGAAGTTCAACCAATCTCAATAAAAAGAAGAGAAACCTAAAGAACCAAAAATATACAAGAATGTGTATGTATGAGATACAATACTTACCCGGAAAAACACTTTTCCTTCTATGAGACCATATGGGACAGGACCGTAATACCTTGAGTCATGGGAAGCATAAATGTTATCCCCTTGAATCCAAACATGCCCCTTTGGCACCTGTGGATGAGTGATTGATAAAACAGATTGTAACAGCAATTAAAAAATCAAATCAAATAATGGACAGAGAGATCAAAGCAACCAGCTATGATAAATTCCAAGCAGAGGGAAAGAAGAGTTTGCGAGATAAATAAGAGTATTGTGTAATAAGTTATTAACTCCTTAACAGAAAAATGTTAATAGCTAGTTCTTGCATCTTAAGTTCAGCAAACAAAAGCAATAATAGCATTGGGATGATACCCTCATCAAAATGGCACAGACATGAGAAGAGTTTAAAATTAATTGGTATACTGCCTTAGAGCAAAAGAAGCACATTATAGTAAATATCTTCTTTAAAAGTAATTGTTTTCAGCCTAAAGCAAAGTGAAATTACTATTCAACATAAGAAAATAACTCATCCTTTGCCACAGCTAGTACCAGAAAATGATGGTAACAAAGTGGGCAAAACAGAAATTCATTCCATCATGTTTAAGACTCAGCTGATAATGTTATACACTGGGCACGGGCACAGCTGCCATGTGGCACCAGATAGATTATTGCCCGGTAATGAAATGCAACTGTACTTTTCCATTCTGTACTTAAGAGAAGAAGTAGGGAATTACTCTAATCATTCTCTTAGTTCAAACTTATTCTTTAATGAAAATGCCACCTAAACATCTAAGTCAGTTGAATGAGCAGTCAAATAACTGGGACACTAAATAAAAAGCAACTTATGAGAAATCACAAATGCAAAGCGTCAATCAATGGCTTTCAATCTAATGACTAAAGCAACTTTCACACCTGCCACTGCTCACTATGATCCAACGTGATCAAACAATTAAGCTATTACTTTATTACAATTACATATGTGCATATACTCTGTAGTGCAAATATTCATCTAATTTCATAACAGGAAAACTAAGGGGGCATTTAGTTTTAGAAAACCTCTCCTGTTTACATGTGTTCTGAAGTTAATCCAGGAAAAAGTGAAAATGGAAAAAGATAATACTAGTTTTCAGCATTTCTTGCACAAACTTTTTAAAACAAAATGTTTTCAGAAATCAATCGACCCCTAATTTTGCAATATGTTAAATTTGCTATCTGTCATGATAAAACCATCAACCAGGTACATTTCAAAGAATTTTATAATCTACCGATGTAAAGTCGGCTTATACAGTCAACTAATCACAATCCATAACGGCAAGCCCTGACATAGTGATAAAGTTCCATTTTGTTGACCAATTGGACATGGATTCGATCCAGAACCAGTCTCTTTGCATATGCAAGAACAAGACTATGTACGATGACCCTCTTCATACTCTTCTATTGCGAGGAACCTTCTGGTATTTTGACTTTGATAATTGGTTGGCATTGTAAATCTTAGAATATAGATTTAAACCAAACTCGACATTACAAATTTGGTTTATATACACTATTTTAGTCATATCAATTTACAAGAAACTTTCTGGTTTCATGAGTTTAATAATAGATCTTGAAAATGTAAAACCAACGCATAACTATTAAATTCTTTTCACAGTCACTTACTACAAAAGAAAAAGAAAAGATAAAACATAGATTAATTATAGAGCAACTGAAGAACAAACCATTAAGCACACACACCACTGCAACTTGAGAAGCCTCAGAGTGCAAAGGGTCGAAGTAAGTGACGGTGTCCCCTTCTAAGGCTATGACTCGCTTCGTCACCCTGAGCTTAGGGTTGAGAGGGGACTTAACGAGAACCAAGTCGCCGTAGCTGACTTTCCCGAGCCGCGGGGAGACGTGCTCCGCGAGGAGGACGTCGCCGGTGACGTTGAGGGTGGGGAGCATGCTAACCCCATAGGCCTGCAAGTAGGGAATCACGCAAATGAATCAAAAGGGAATCCGAAAAGCACCAAGATTGGGAGAAAAGCTTGAATCTTTGAAGGGAATACGTGACACGGGGTACAGAGGTAGTTGCCGGTGATGTGAAACCAGCAGAGGAAATTCACAGCGATGGTTGTGCGATCCAACACTTCCTTCGCTGCTCTTCTCCATTGCCCTATGTAACCCATAAACCTCATCCCTTTCTCCTTACTTTTCGAAGATTGTTACTATGCCACTTTCTTGTTATTAAGGACAATGGTTGAAATCTAGGAACTATCAAAATATATTTGTATTAGAGACTATATTTTATATAAACAAATATTAGAATATAGAGAGAACGTAAACTTTGTCTTAATAGTACATATTAACTTATATTAATTATCTAATTATGTTTTTCTATTTCAGATGCAAAATAATAAATATTTTTTTATCATTTTATCTCCTAACTATTTTCTTACTATATATATCTAGTTTTTTTATTCTTTTTTCAATTTTTTTAGTAATCTTTTTGCCTGTTTGTAAAAGAAAAAAGAGATTATTTTTTAATTCTCCACCCTTTCTTCAGCGTTAAGAGTAGTGTAATTTAACAATTTTTCAATAGAGTAATATAGTGCAATCGTTAATTAATCTTTGATTTTAATTGTCTACTTTTTTTATTAGATAGTTCTAAAACTTCTGCTTGTTTTGTGATGGGAAAAGGTTTGAAATATTTTATTTTTGTTTTTATTATTTTAATATTTTCATATTGATTAATTAATTAAATTTTTATATTTATTTAAATTTTTTATTATGATATCTTGATAATTTTATTACTTAAATATACTTCTTATTGACGAGATTTTGTAAATATCTATTATAAAGATTATGTTAAATGTATAGGTACCAATTTAGGAAAGAAAAATTCAATAAATAATTTAATAAAATAAAAATATTTAAAAAACAAATTAAATAAAGAATAATTAATGTTCTTGTGTCTAATAACCAACCAGTATATAAACTTAGAAAAATATATTAAATTAATAGTCTTAATTAATATTAAAGATATTTTTTTCTATGCTCATATTTAATTTTATTTTTAATACAATTAATTAATAAAAAATAAAATACAAAGATAACAGATAAGATGATAGAGTAAAAAGTAAAAAGTTAAATGAAAGGAATGAAATGTGTTATAAGTAAGGTTAATCATTAAACCAATTTTAAGTTGAAGAGAATAACTTGACTTATAATACTTTTAAAGTTATTCTTATAGATATTAAAAAATTCTTAAATCTAAGCTATCTCAATTCCTGGCAGGAATCAAGCACGCGACCTAACTCTGGTATCAAAAGTTAGACATCAAACACTAGCCACTTAGCTAAAAACTTAAATTGTTATTAAAGGTTCACACTTAATACTTTAACCTCTGGTCCCTAATAGGTTACTTGTTTTTTTTTTACTATTTTCTTTCTTGTATGTTAATAATCTAAACTAATAATTAATTTTAACTATTAAATTAAAAAAAATCAATAATAAAAATATTACAATAAACTTTTTTAAGAACTCATCATATTAGAGAGATTCTCTTCACATTCTAATAATAACTATTATTATAATAATATTTTATATGTTATTTAAAAAATAATTTGATAAAATAGATTAGCTTATACGTTTATGAATTAATTTAACCTAAATTTATTTATGCTACTGTCAAACTGAGTTGGATCCAAATTTATCTGATTAATTTATATTATAATGTTTTTGTTGGTGGACATAAAAACTCGTATAATAATAATAATAATAATAATAATAATAATAATAATAATAATAATAATAATAATAATAATAATAATAATAATAATAATAATCTTATAATTCCTAATTACAGAATAGATAATTAGAATAATATGATTCGAGACCCAAATACTCAAGATTCCCTAATGACAGTATAATGAAAAAATATTTCTTATTTACTTATTAGAACTCTTAAGAGGTCTATGTAAAACACAGTCACATGTTTACACACATTTTCACCTTCTTATCCACTCGTGCCTTTAATATATTTATTCTACCTTCACTGTATGTGAGTTTTCCACTACTATAAAATAACTAATATATCGTAAATTAAAAATGGTTGCAATATCTTTTATAAAGAAAATACACAAAAAATAACTGCAAGTTTTTCGGCAAATTTTTTTCAAGAAATACCTTTTTTATATCAAAATTAATTACAAAAAGTTCTTGCAAAATTTACTATAATTATGCTTAGATTTTTTTTTCAAATAAAAATTTAAAAGAAATATGGCAGGAATAGAAAAGTATTTCTTACAAATGTTTTATAAATAAAAATTCAAAAAAATATTTAATAATTTGTTTGTAAAAAAATACCACCAAGATTGATGCGGATTTGGAGGCGGGCCAAGATTGTGACACATTGGCCCAATAAAATCTCTAGTTTGCAGAATGCGTTGGAACGACGACAGGCTCCACAATGGATGATATGGAGAAACAAAATAGAAAAACTGACTTGTGAAACCAGAAAACTGTTTTGATCCCATGAAAACGAGAGGAAAAGAAGGATATAACGGAAAAAGAAATAAATCAAAATATATTATAATTCTTTATCTCTTATGTAGGTCAACATGATTATTTAGCTTCAAAAAAATAACCTAAAACTAAGCTAGCTTAAATGAAGACTGTCCGAGATAAAATTGGTTACAACAAAAAAATGTTCAAAATAAGATTATGAGATATATGAATTTGGCAGAGCCGGTTAGACATCTCCTCATTAGCTTATATGAACGTGAAAAATAAAGATAGAAATTAAAAACAAAAGTTTATGATAAGATTATGAGATGACTCGAATATGGTAGAGTCGGTTAGACATCTCCTCATAAGCTTGTATGAACATAAAAACTATACAATTTTTTTAAGTCTTTAAATGATTATTGTATCTTTTAATAAATAATATTTAAGTCATCTGAGGACACCCTTAAAAGAAAACTACTCTATAAGAGAGAAATAAAGAAAATTTACTCGGATGAGGGAAAGAGAAGGAAAAGAGGGAATCTGAAAGTGATTTTTTTATTGATGGAGATAAATTTACATGAGAGAGGGAAAGGGAGAGAGGTAGAGAGAAGGAGGAGAGAGAAGAGAGAAGGGGAATGGGCTTATGAGATCTCTGCCCAGCATAAGAAACTTACTAGTCCTTATATAGAAATTTTTTAGAGGAAAATAATAGTAAATTAATGAATAAATAAATAATTAATGGGGTCCCACATTTGAAAATGTTAGAATGTGAAAGTTTATAGTAGCTGAAAACAAAATTGATTAAAATATTCTTTTTAAAAAAAAAATTTTATTTTGGTAGAAAAATTTCTACCGCTTTGTTATCAAAAGATTGGTTTAATCTTTCCGTCATTAACACGCAAGGTTTAAAGAGCCTAAAAATGTGTAACGATAGAGGAACCATGACAAGGTAGCAAGATATCATTATCTGTCATTAACCTTTGTCATCTTTTGATATTACTGTATAACGTAAGAGCTTACATCATGAGAAGTTCCTCAAAATCTTCAAGGACAAATTCGTCTTTATCTGAAAGACTCATTGGTTGTGGTGAGACAGGATTTTTACAATTCTGCCGTAGATATGAAGTTTTGCCAAGTCTTACCCAAAGACTGATTATTGTAGTTTCGGCTAACAACTCCTTTTTGATATCTTCTTTTAGGAATTGATCATACATTGTTGAAGTGAGAGGATGATTGTCATGATCAATTTTTTGGAGTGTATCATTGAAGATGTCAATGAATGACTTAGAATCCAGAAACAAATGATGTTTTGCTAGACTATATTCGCCTTTTGTGTTGTTGGGGTGTGTAAAGAATATTTCAATAAAATATTCTTCATTGTAATCACACTGAAAGAACACATTTATCCAGTAATTAATTTTTGTATCAAAAAATGGTTCTATCACTGCGTCTCCGAAAATAATCATCATTTTCATGAATCTTGAAAAGAATAAATCTTCAGTTAATCTTTTATTAATCCAGACAGAATCACATTTCACCAAATAAGGATTTATTCTGATGTTGTATTGTTCGGAAGATAAGGGGGCCAAATTATCCTAATATTGAACTATCCTCAAGTGTTGTCGGAGTGCAGAATCTACTGGTAGTTGGAATAACCAGATCTAGAGTGCTCCAAGTTCTACTAACAAGGTATCTGAAGCATGTTGGTAGATTTTTCTTTGATTGGGCTGGGTAGATGGGCCCAAAAATTATCTTTTGAATGACCCAATATAGGTCATACGCTTTGTGAAGTTTCCATAATCCATGGTTCCAGAATTGATCGGAGCCGTATCCGGTCAAATAAATACAGATAAATGCAGTTCTAGGAAGTGACTCCTAGGTCGTCTCCCAAGGACTATTAGTTTCAATCAAGGATCCACAATCAAACAGATAAAACAGTAATGGGGGGGGGTTGGTTTGTATATTAGTAGATAGACACAAATTAAATTCTACGAAACAACAACAGTGACAAAAGTAGAGATTAAAAACGTATTAATTCCTTAATTCAAATGTAAATCCACTATCACAGATTACCAAATGAATGCCCTGTTCAATCTTGAAACTCGAAATTAGACCACTAAGCGAAGACTAAAACGAGTCCAATATGCATTAAGCAAGCATACATCTTCAACCTTGGTGCCACGGATTAAGCAACCATGTAGCAACCCACATCCATTAAGCATGAACAGGGGCTGTTTAAATGCAAGAACACAAATATGAGATTAAGCATACATCAAATTTGTCATCCCTTCATCAAGCACAAAGTTAATTAGATGGAGACCAATACAGGACATGGCAGAAATGCTTCAAACACAAAAATCTCAAGGGTTCATCACATTCTCCTCAAGGAATCAATACTCAAAGTTTAGCTAGCCATGGAAATGAACCGCAAATACAAAAAATGAATGAAAATACTTCATCATATATATGAAAGAACAAGAAACCGAAACTCAAACATCCAATGTGCAGAAAAATAAAAAAACCCCAAATGGGTACTGTTCTAAGTGTCTAAATACAGAATACAAGTTGTTCCAAGCTAAAAATGAGAAAACATGAAATGGAGTCTATTCAAGAATGGAAAACGCAAAACCTAAGTGGTGGCACCATGGAAAGCTTCCCAAACAGCTGAAAATGGAGAATGAATGTGGAA